TGGCTTAGTTATAGTGTCTTTCAGCATCGAAGAATCATCTTTTTTTTCTTTTCTTTTTAATTTCCCTATGATTATTTTCTTTATCATACTTTAAGTTCCTACATATGATATGCTTAAACAAATACGTGCATACAGAAGTTAGAATTATGTGTCTCTGTGCCACAGATTCTGGGTGTTTTTCTCATTATTCTGTGTCTGTGTCTGTATGTTGGTGAGGATAGCAAGTGTGTTGACTGATTAACTGTAGTATCCAAGTAATCTGCTGGATATGACCTGGTCTTCAGTTACAGCCTTCTTTTTCCTGAGGCCAGGTATATGAGATGCTCTTTTTTGTAAATTTACCCAGTGCTAAAGCAACTGAATTTAAGCTCATGGATTTGATGGAAGCTTAGCAGAGATCGAGAAAATCTATGAGATTGCAACCAAAGGTTCTGATGATGAGAAGATATCTGCTGCTAGCATTCTTTGTGGGGCATCTCTAGTTCGTGGTTGGAATATACAGGTAATTTGACAGAAGGTCACTTCCCACAAATTGCTTTACAGTCACATAATCTGTCACTATCATTCTTAAGTGCTTCAGAAGTTTGTTTATCCTTTTTTTTTTGTTTATTTTTTTTTCTATTCATACTAATTTTTTATTTCATTTTGTTCTCCTTTGTTTGCAGGAACACACCATTCTCTTTATTGCAAGTGTGCTGTCACCACCAGTTCCTGCCGATTATTCTGGGAGTGATAGCCATTTGATCAATTATGCTCCATTGTTGAATGTTCTTCTTGTTGGAATATCTCCTGTAGACTGTGTCCAGATCTTCTCTTTACATGGCATGGTAGGTTTGATTTTTCAGGATCCATGTTTTCTGCTGGCTTATATGTGAATGTTTATGTGCGTTATACAAACCAAAGAAAGGTCAACGGAGCTAGTTTTTAAACAAGTTTGCTGAAAAGATCCTCTCCTATATTGCAAATAAATGATATATTGGTTTTTCCCTATTTGTATAGAACTGAGCGTAATCCCTTTCTTAATGTCTTTGTAATAGTGGACCATTAAAAAATTTATTCAGCTGTTCCTTTCTGAATCGACAGAGACAATATGTTGCATGAATAATGAGGCAGTTTTTAAACAAGTTTGCTGAAAAGATCCTCTCCTATATTGCAAATAAATGATATATAGGTTTTCCCCTATTTGTATAGAACTGAGCGTAATCCCTTTCTTAATGTCTTTGTAATAGTGGACCATTAAAAAATTTATTCAGCTGTTCCTTTCTGCATCGACAGAGACAATATGTTGCATGAATAATGAGGCATGCCTTTTGGCAAACGTTCACATAAGAAAAGAGAGGATAGCAAAGGGCGGTCTGTTGGAAGGAGAAAACACTATGTGCTCTAGACCCTGATGTTATTTGATTTTCTTGTCAGGTTCCTCTACTTGCTGGTACACTGATGCCGCTTTGTGAGGTTTTTGGGTCAACTGCTCCCACTGTTTCATGGACTCTGCCCACGGGGGAAGAGCTGACTAGTCATGCGGTGTTCACCAATGCATTTACTCTTCTACTGAGATTATGGAGGTTTGATCACCCACCTCTTGAACATGTGATGGGAGATGCAACACCAGTGGGATCCCAACTAAGTCCTGATTATCTGTTGCTGGTTCGAAACTCTAAATTATCAGCTTTTGGAAAAGCACCAAAGGATCGTTTGAAAATTAAAAGACTGTCAAAAATTTTAAATTTCTCTTTGGATATCATATTTATGGATTCCTTTCCCAAGTTAAAATGCTGGTACCGGCAGCATCAAGAATGTATTGCTTCCACCTTGTCAGAACTTGTGCAAGGGACCCCTGTTCATCAGATTGTTGATGCACTCCTCAATATGATGTTCAGGAAGATAAGCAGGGGTGGTCAGTCTTTAAATTCGACAACTTCTGGAAGTAGTAGTTCTTCTGCATCTGGTGGCGAGGATGTTTATGTAAGACTAAAAGTGCCTGCATGGGATATCCTGCAAGGAACTCCCTATGTGCTTGATGCTGCTCTGACAGCGTGTGCCCATGAAAGACTCTCACCCCGTGAACTGGCTACAGGTTTATCCATTTTCTTTCTCTTGCTTAAAAGCAGGCATATACATGGAACATATATTGGTAGGATATGAACAACTTATTGAGGGAGAGAGTTATAGATCTTATTGTCAAGTTAAAGTGGGTTCAATCTCATAACATGAATACTGGGGCTGACATTTTAGGCATAATTTTTTAATGACTTTTATATGCTTCTTCTTGATCTATTGGGGCTAATTGCTGGTATTTTGCAGAAGTTTAATTTCTGTGCATACTATTGTTTCCAAAATATGATATTCCATTTAGGTTGACAATCTATGTTGATTTCTGAAAAGTAAATAATGTGAATGCAATATAGTGCATAGGAGTTGTTGCAAACTGTTTACCATGCATAATCTAAACAATCACACATAGGATTTATGGAAATAGTCTTTATAAGTTGCTGAAAGGTATCCTGTATCTTTCATAAACACAACTAGTGATGTTTCTGTACTAACCAAACTAAGAAAATGGCATATCCTGTTCTTCCACATATCTATGTTTTTTTGCAACATAAATTTTTTGCCTGCAATATCTCAGGACTCAAAGATCTTGCTGATTTCCTTCCGGCAACCCTGGGCACCATTGTCAGCTACTTTTCTGCTGAAGTAACGCGAGGTATATGGAAGCCAGCTTTTATGAATGGAACAGATTGGCCAAGTCCTGCAGCAAATTTATCCATGGTTGAGCAGCAAATCAAAAAAATTTTAGCTGCCACTGGTGTTGATGTCCCTAGCCTTGCCGTAGGTATTACTTTGTGCCATTATATTTGTTCCTTGCCCTAGTATTAGTTTCTGGAGAAATGATAATTTTTTATTGACCTGCATCTCCAGAAGTGGTTTTTGAGCAAAAGTTGCATCAGTTGTACTGGCCGCTGTACAGCTTTTCTGTATCTTTAAATGTAATTAAGAAGAAAATAGGAAGGAAAGGATTGGAAGTTCTTTGTGTGTTAATGATTTTCCTCTCTGAATGGAAACAGGAATTGAAGGTGAATCTAATAAAATTACGATCATGTACTTTAGACACAGATCTGCCACCAGTGGTTTAGGTGGATCCTTGCAATTTTAACAAATGTTGGAAAAATGAATTCTACTCCAAGTTTACGTAGGGAATGTTATCATTTGACAGATCTGTTAGCTAATTCTGTCGCAATCTTTTATTTTTGCTTGCAGGTGGGAGCTCTCCGACTATGCTTCCTTTGCCCTTGGCTGCCCTTGTTAGCCTCACAATAACCTATAAACTTGATAAAGCCTCTGAACGCTTCCTTATATTGATTGGCCCAGCGTTGAATTCCCTGGCTGAAGGCTGTCCCTGGCCATGCATGCCCATCATAGCCTCACTATGGGCTCAGAAGGTTAAGCGTTGGAATGATTTCCTTGTGTTCTCAGCATCTCGTACTGTCTTCCACCACAGTAGTGATGCTGTAGTTCAGCTTCTCAGGAGTTGCTTCACATCTACTCTCGGATTAAGCCCTTCTATCATTTACAGCAATGGTGGAGTGGGTGCTCTCCTTGGCCATGGATTTGGCTCTCACTTCTGTGGGGGAATGTCTCCAGTTGCCCCAGGGATTCTATACTTACGAGTGCATCGATCAGTCAGAGATATCATGTTTATGACAGAAGAAATTGTGTCTCTTTTGATGTCTTCTGTAAGAGAGATTGCCAGTAGTGGGTTATCCCAGGAGAAAGCAGAGAAATTGAAAAAGACAAAGTTTGGACTGAGATACGGGCAAGTTTCTCTTGGTGCAGCAATGACACGGGTCAAACTTGCTGCATCACTTGGGGCTTCATTGGTCTGGCTATCAGGTGGATTAAGCTTGGTCCAATCTTTGATCAAAGAAACATTACCTTCTTGGTTTATATCAGCCCATGCTCCAGAAAAGGATGGCGGGGAACCTGGAGGTGTAGCTGCCATGCTGGGGGGTTATGCACTTGCATACTTTGCGGTGCTTTGCGGGACCTTTGCGTGGGGTGTCGACTCGGCCTCCCCAGCATCGAAACGGCGACCAAAGGTTCTTGGGGCACACTTGGAATTTCTTGCGAGTGCATTGGATGGGAAAATATCGCTGGGATGTGATTCTGCCACTTGGCGTGCATATGTAACGGGGTTTGTGAGCTTGATGGTCTCTTGCACACAGAAGTGGGTTTTGGACGTCGATGTCGATGTTTTGAAAAGGCTGAGCAACGGATTGAGGCAGTGGAGTGAGGAAGAACTGGCTATGGCGTTGTTGGGACTTGGTGGTGTGGGAGCCATGAGCGCAGCTGCCGAATTGATTATTGAAATCGGAGTTTAAATTTTTGTCAGAAGCCCTTAGTATAGACAACTTTTATCCGATGAATTGATGTTGCTTTCGTGTAAAGATCATAGCATAGGGAGTTCTAACAGGGAACTGAACGAAGCTGAATCTAATTACACTCTTGTAAATATGGTTCAAAACATCTTTCTTCTTGTTTTGTTTCAATTTAGTCCTTTTCATCGACTCCACTATTTGAATGGTTGCAAAGATATTTTACTGAACAGAGACACTTCCAACTCTGAAATAGCCAGCCTTCAATCAAGTGGTTACCCTTGGGCCGGTTTGGAAATGTTTCTATCCAAGTCTTTTCCTTTGTTGCACTTTGATTTTTGGTTTTTATTTTTTTAATGTACTCTTTTTTATTTCAAATTAAATGTTCGCTTTTATTTTTTTACATAATAATAAAATTAAGTTTGATCATTATTTATAATCATAAGTTTTGAAAAGTAACAATGAAATTAACTTGAAAAGTAATCCCAATGTTTGGAGAAGCGGTAAAAAGAAAAGAAGAAAATTGATAATGGCTGCTCCAGGTGGGCGCAAATGCAAAAATTGAACAAGTAGAGGGGTGAAAATGTAGTGACTCCCCAACACACAAACAATCGTTTATAATCAACGGAAATGTCCCAAATTGGAAGTGCTCCTTCTCTCTCTCTCTCTCTCTCAGTGTTTGTCGCAAGCAAAAATGGAGGCAAACTTGCTCCCGCTATCAGGCGCACCTCCCTTACAATCCTTTCTTTCACCCACTAACGTGCGCATCTCCAGTTTAAAAACCACTTGCCCATCTGGAGCAGGTTAGTTCCCATAAACTCACTGTTTTACTCTCAAAGAACCAATCAAGCTTTTTGTTTGCTCAAAATTCGTTCTCTTTTTCTTTGTGAACAACGTATAATTTACAGTTTTGAGAAGGAGCATGAACAAAGAAGAGCAACTTCTGGAAGGGATGCCAAAGGAGTATTACGATGATGTATGTTACTCTTTTTGCTCAACCGGTTTTTCCCTTATTTTTTTTCCTATTTTTTATTCTATATAATTTTTGGGTGCTTTACTCTCTGGTTAGTATAGGTAAATGGGTTTTCAAGTTTTGCGATATCTGGGTCACTTCTAAATTAGCTATTACTTCTCTGAAAAAGAACAGAAGAGGCTATTACTACACACCAAATTGTGATTACTTATGCAGGTTTTTGCATGTTTATGTATACCCACATGTGTTCTAGAAATAGATTGGAATATGGTACTATTTGCAGATAATTTTACCTTTTGACTTGTGAGTTGTAGCTTGAAAATTGATTCGTTGATTACATATATGTATATCTAAAATTTAAAAGAATTGTTCTTTTATGAAATGAATGTGTAAATTTTTCAGGATACTGGCATAAATGTGTTTTCATTGGATTAGTTTGTGAATTCTGTTGATCTTTGGTCACTGCAGTTGGCCTGAATTGTTTGTAATGCCTACTCAGAAACTGGCTTTGATAATATCTTGGTTAGGAATGGCAAGCCAGACAACGGGAAAAGACAAAGGAGTTACATAGAAGACGTCGAGAGGAAGAGGAAGAAGAGGAACAAAAGATTGAAGAGTATCGTGAAATTGGCATGCGTTTGATGGGGTACCCAGAAGAAGATGTCAGAAAAGCAAGAAAATTAGTTTCAAGCTTCATTAGGGCTGAAGAAGAGGTGGAAGAGGTAGGGTGTGTGTGTCTGTGTATTTCTAGAGCCAAAAGCCAGTTCATTACAACAGTTTAATTTTGTCTCAGAATAAGGTTTTAAGATAATGAAAATGTTCTAATCGAATTTCTTTTCCTCTGGTAAAGTTTCTAACAAGGATAAGAATAATACAGCTGTGTTGGACTTACTTTTTGCATTATTGTCAAAAGTCCGGCTGTGTTGACTGAGGTTTAACAGCAATTGGCTTGGGAACTTCTTTGTTTTAAGCATGCATAAAAATTTGAAAACACTCATTTTAGCATCTTTGTCTTCCAAGAAACTGAAGTAAAACTTTGGAAACTCTTAGAATAACCTAATATTTGACCAGATTATAAACACCAGGGCACACAATTCCTAAAGTTTTCTTTCTTCTGCTGAACATAATATTGCATGATAAAGAAACTGCATATTTTATTCACATCACTTTGTTTGATGATCATACTCGTACCCATTGATTAACTTTACTCTAATGCAGAAAATTGAGGAGGCTGCGGAGAGAGGTGAACTCACTGAACTTGTGCTAATGGTTATATGGAATCGTCTTGATCTTGCACGGCATGATGTAAGTGGGTTTTTAGTACCTTCCCATTTTGGCAGCCCTTGACTTTACCTATTTCTTTTCCAGCCTTTATTTCAGAGGTTTTATATGTCTGTGCAAAAATTTGCCACAGCTCATTAAAAATTAAACCAACTGTGATACCCATTCTAACGCATTGAGAATTTGATGTACAACTTGGTAAATTTGGGAGTTTCTGGAATCAAAATAACAGCCCTGGAAAATCATCTCAGGGAATGGATAAACACAACTGTGATAACAGTTATCAGATCCTTCAATCAATGATGTTAGTCCTTTTATACCAAGCATGGCATACTTGTTGATTAGGTATATCGAAATTAAACCCAAACTTTATTGCACAAGAGTAGATGCTTTTTTCTTCTCAAAAAGAGACCTGGTATGCCTGGGGGGAAATGATAATTATTGATCTTATGTTACTCTGGCTTAACAATCTGTGTCGGTCACATCGCCTACACCTTGAGCAGTCATAGTTGTTTGGTTACAAATTTTTAATATAATATACAATGTAAACATTATGGAAAAATTGATCGTACCTATCCCAGGCATGAGTAAAAGCACGATGCCTGTGCTCAAGTTTGAGCAGTTTAGCATTAGACCTGGACTATTGCCATTTTATGTGTGCACAAGTGTACTTATTCCATGATGCAGACGTTTCTAGCAAACATCCATATGGATCTTATCTATATTTTTATTTCAATTTAATTTCTGGCAATTCCTGCAATTGGTGAATCAGCTTTGTCCATGTTGTCTACTTGTGTTTACCATAACAGTGCCTGATAAGAAAGGGGTTTAAAAAATAAATTCTCTGCATGAAGTGTTCATTTAATCCATGTAGTGACCTTCAGTTCTGTCTCTAGTGTATAAATTTAATACTTATAACATTTTCCAGGATGAAAAGGATGCCATTAGGAGTCTTGATCTTCTTTACAGAAGAGTTGAGGTATGCACTAGACTAATTATTTTGATTACAGATCAGAATTTGAATTCTGTTTAGAGGGTGTTCCATATGTTGATATACTGGCAATTTGGATTCTGAAAATGATCCTACATTTATTAATTATTTGATTGTAAACTTAACTTGTACCATTCCACACTGGTTTGATGTTCAGTACTTAAAATCTAGAATCTCTATATCATTTTCTGATAAATGTCTCTGACTGTTAGTGATCAAATTCAGAAATACCAAAAGCTTCCTGATGCAGCAATTATTCTTATCTACGTTAACCTTTTACCTCCAACCCTGTTTCTACCTTGTAATATCCACCGCCACCTCGAAAAATCATTTTATTTCATGGATATGGTTGATTTTGGGCTTGCTTTATCTAGGTCAAATTCTCTCAGTAAGATAAAGGGAACACCATTATAATTAACTGTTATCCGTTATAAATACAGGAAATTAGTTTTGGGGAATGAGCCTAAAATGAGGTTACCTAGAAGGTACAGAAAATGCTAAAGGCTGTCAAAATTTTCTGAATTGTCTACTTTGCTGGAGTATTTGGATTCAGCACATTTCATGCAATAAGGAATAGTTTGTTTCTTACACCTCCATTATGTTTATTCAAATTCTTGCTGCTGTTCAACTATTACTACAAAACATTTGAAAAAAAATATCTAAGTTTTTCTTTATGTTTTAGACTGAGATATTGAAACGGGAGGCTACTCCTGCCATGAGACTGCTCAATGATCTCTTGAATATGCATGATGGTTTTAACGATGAAGGATGGCTGAAGGAATGCAAAAAACGCATGGCTGATACTTTTCCGCGGGAGGATCCCTTTAGCATCCTTGTACCAGCTGGGTTTGACATTGATAAGGTATGCTGCGATTGGAAATGCATTTGATTTTTTTATTTTTTTTGAGTTATGAACCTCCGCATGTACATATGGTACTTGTGACACTTGCAATCATATTCCATGAGGGAATCTAACATCTAATGTTTGAGCTGCTTCTCTTTATGCTGATTGTATGGCTACCTATTAGGTTTTAGCCACTGTATTTATACAGCCTGGTGTTCTATCCTTCTTGGTGAGACCAAAGTAGAAAAGGGCAGCACTGAGACATAACGTCCTTGTTGCCTGTGGTTTTAGGAACTCAGAAACGTGCTCACCTGAGAAAGGGATATCCTTCTGAAGTATCAAAGATATCAAATATACAAATAATATAAATATAATAAGTTTATTAAATAGGCATCATCAATTTTTTCTAAATATACAATGACATCTTTAATTATCTATTAGGTTACGTGCTTATAAATGTTATATTGAAGCATGCACCTTCAAATTAACGTTTTATGCCTAACTTTTCTATCAGCATCATGGGCCATTGTCACTGCCACTTGAAGCAGATGTTCTTCTGAGAGTAGATTTTGTAAGAGAGGTGGATGCTTTGCTACAAGAGGTTCGATCGGAACAAAATGAAGCACAAAGCATAGAAGGGCTTGATCCAGAGTCTGTTGCAGTAAGATTGAAGGAACAGGAGAAGAAACGAACCATTCACCAAGTTGAAACTCTGCTAGACTTGGCCATTAATTTGAAGTGGTAGCCTTAGTTTTTCCATTTTTGGGGCCTGATTGTTGGGTTCAGGAGAAAAACAGGCATCCAGTTCTGGTCAGTTTCTGCATATTGGGCAGATTTTGGTTTGTAAGATCCAATGAAACTTGTACTGGTAGCCAGGTATAGCATTTGTACTTCTAGGAGTATATAGTTCGTAGGGTACAGAGAATTAATAGGTGGGAGTATGTATGTGTTTTGAATGCAATTTTGTACTGTGCGGGGGCTTTTCTTCAACTGGATTGCTTTCCGCCTTTGCCGCTATGTGCAATGAAGGTGAAAACATTGAATTACAAGCTTTATGTTTAGAAGTTGAGGCTGGGCATGTTTCAATTATCATGAATATTCAAGACATTGGCAAACATGTGAAATATCATATCTAGCCCATTGCTGGTTTTGCAAGAGTAAGGTCTTGCTGCCTGCAATGGCCAAAATTGAATTTTCAAGTCTCTTCCTCCTTCCATTCCACCAAATTCATGTTCCCTCCTGGCAATACAAGAGTTCCGTGCTCTGAAACTTACTATACAGAAATAACTATCTCTTGTTTTCTCGTTGAAGGCTTGTGTTCGAAGCTGGAACTCTCTCTAACATCAACCCAAGAATTTCAAGTAATCAAAATCACCCAAACCTGAGTGCAGCTGCCCAATTTATCTAGCTGAAGTTTACATTTTTCATAAGATCATTAAGAGAAATAATTAGAATGTTTTTATTTATTGAAGAAACTGATGGATATACAAGTTGCCTACCTTGAAAACGTCCCTGTTTTGCATACTTCAACCTGCAATTATACAATCACTCACACATGCAAAAGATAAAAAAAAAAAGAAGGTTGTTCTTCTATGCTTTACCCATCTACAAAATTTTCAATGAAGAAAATGGAGGGGAAAAGGGGAATCCATCAACTACGAACAGCGCGGGCTTCAAACAGAGTGCAGCTGAGAGACTTCATTTCATAAGCAACTAACCCCATCATTTGCTCAAGAACAGCCTTACCATCAGCTGAGAAAAAGCCTGGGTATGGTAAAGCGGTGTCTACTAATCGACGCCATGCCATCCCTTCAGGAGGTGGGGGTAGAATTATGATTTCCGCTTTGTCAGCCGCATTAATGGCAATCAACAGATCACCTTTTAGTTGAGAAGCTTCAGAGCTCAACTGGCTCTCTTCTTTGTCAGCCTTCAATGTCATAGCCAGTAATTTGCAGGAGGGGTCTTCCCATCGTGGTGGAGACTGATCGCGTCCATGCCATTCAATATTTTCTTCCTTCAAAAAATTCCTTTTCTGGAGAAGGTCACTTCGCCTCATTCTGAGCGAACTCAAGAATGAGATAAACCGCGTTGTTTGAATACCAAAACCTGTTGTCATTGCATTCCAATCTAAAAGTTTTCTGCTACCATATGACAGGGAACCACCAGAAGATTGGCCACATTCATCGCCCATGTTAAGAACAGGAACCCCCCGTGAAATAAACAAAATAAAGAGAAAATTACGGATTTGTTTGAGTCTTCTTTCAAGTACAGCAGTTTTACTTGTAGGTCCTTCTTCCCCACAATTCCAACTTAATTCTGAAGCTATTTCAGCATTACTAAAGCTGACCAAATCAACGAGAGGAAGTCCAAAATTCTTAGCAATAAAATTGAAAGAAAAAGCTGGGCCTCGACCATCTGAGAATATGTCCCCACTCCCACAAAGCCGTGTAGCAAGACTACTCAAAGCACCCTTACCCCTCCAAAAGTTCCTTATATCAGTACAAAACTTTGTATTCATTTCTGCCCATTTCTTCCAATGAGGAAAACGAATTTCCTTTGGCATCATGTCATGTGGATACCAGCGATCTGCAATGATTTTGGTCTTGGAGAGCAGTGGATCAAAAGCTATTGCTTCAATCAAGGGAGGGCGAGACAAAATTTCACCATAAAACCCTCTCAACAGACATGAAGCGTTGATGAAACAAAAACCATCAATGTGAAATTCAGTCGCCCAATGCCGAAGACTATCTAAAATCATCTGTTGAACAACAGGATAGTTACAATTCAAAGCATGTCCTGGTTCTAAATCTTCAACCCTATTCCTGTAATAATAGGATAAATCATCAAGTCCTTGCAGGGCTCCACTCTCAGCAGTATGGGTAAATACCACTTCCAGCAAGACCTCCATTCCATTGGCATGCAAGTTCTTAACCATCTCCTTAATTGAGTTAATAGCAGATACAGAACCATTAGAAGGCCCATACAGGTTTGTTGGTGAAAAGAAATGACAAGGAAAATATGGTCCTTTTTGCTCATCAAATGTAAATATTGGCTCTAATAAGACAGCATTGATGCCAAGATCTTTTAAATGCTGTACCTTCTCAGTTACACCAGAGAAAGTCCCTGCCACATCAGCAGGTAGCTTACTAGACTTGTCTTCAGTAAAATGCAGAACGTTCAACCGATATACTACTAATTTTTCCATAGGTAAGTTTGGACAAACATCACCGCTCCAGTCAAAAGCAGGCTCCTTGCATAGTCGCCCAAGATGTTTCAGGAGCAAACCAGACTCATGATGATTAGGAATGGAACTCCCAATTATCTTAGCATAAGGATCCAAAAGAACACGCTCTGCATTAAATGCATCAGTATCCCCCTTGCACCGATAACCATAGCTCACGAAAGTCAAAGCACCTTCTATCGAAGCATGCCAAATATCACCAGTTCGATTAACATAAGGATCAAGATCAAGCTCTAAAGCAGGTTTTTCTGATGCAGTATTATCATACAAGCACAGGACCAAACTTTCTGCATTTCTTGAATAAACTGCAAAGTTCATGGAACCATCAGTTGAAAAGGAAAGGCCCAATGGAGCTGGATACCCTTGATCAAAACCAATTGGTACACAAAAATTAGTCTTCCTATGAGTTCTGATTTCTGAGCCACTTGAATTTGCACCTGATGGGGCTTTCAGCAAGAATGAGAAGTAGAATGGGGCTTCTTTAGCTTCAAATTCCAACTCAAGTGCCAACTCATGGGAAGACCTTGCTATAAATGGGGCTTCAATGATCCTGTTTTTGATATCATGATCGGATCTGTGTACACCCCCACTTAGCACTAGCTGACTTTCATCACTGGACAATTGCAGGGATGAAACTTCAATATGTACTACATAGTTGACACTTCTCTTTCTAACAAAAACTTTGACCTGACCTCCAATTTCTGTCCTAAACAGATAAGTTGATAGCTTTTTAAGTTCATCAACTTGGGTACTTGTAGTAAATATTTGTTCAGTTTGCTCAACAGAAACTCGTGATGCAGCAAAGCGTCTCAAATCAAGATTCCAATACCGAGACTGCATGACATTTTGTGCAACTTCTCCAGAGAAAAGCTTTCTTCCTACATCTATTCTCTGAAGCCTCTGTCCCATTTTGCTTCTACAAAGATAATGGGTGACAAACGATAATTTAGACAATTCAGTGGCTCCACAGTTCGGGCAATGGGGCCCTTTTGCAAGGGTTGGAGGAAGAGTTGCCATATATGTTTGCAGAAGAAAGTGATTTTGAACCAGGGAGCAGAATAGAATCCTCTCTGGAAAGGAGGATAATTTTCCTTACTGAATTTGAGATGGCTTTCTGTTTGAAATTAGGAAAGAGTTAGTTCACTGGATCAAGGAACCTAAAACAGCGTAAATCTTTTCAACTGGTTTTCGATACCGAGGCCAGCTTTTCCCATATTGGGATCATTTTAAAACATCCAGACCCAGAGAGCAATAAAATCCATGTTAACATGTGCAATAGTAGCATCAAGCACCCACAGTGAACGAGCAGTCGGATAAATACATAACTTGAACATACAGAACGCAGAAAAATGAAAGAGAAAAAACAAAACCAAGAAAACCCCAGATAAATTGCACCATAAGAAATGATGGGAAGTTTGGAATATAAGAACTTGATAAGAATTGAGCTATACCCAGTTGACAAAGAAGCATATGGTGGCAGCAACGAACCCAGATTAATGCAGAGGTTTTCTATTTTTATTTTTGAACAAAAAGTACTAGTAGAAGCAGCAGCAGCAGCAGCATAAACGGAAATGAAAACACAACTTACAGCATTGGATTCTATCAGCGCTAAAAGCCAGAAAAATGACGTGTTGACGAGAGAGAGCCCAAATGAAAAGAGTTGCCAGAAGCATTAGAAGAGGAGTGTAATCAGTGTAGATTTGTCGTTGCTTGGAATTTATAGCTTTCCCCAGGACCGCACAACGCATTCATCTGATGATTTAACCTTGTTTTTTTCCTTAAAGCGCCGTTGCCACTAAAACGCTGCGTTTCACTGGAGAGATCGCCCTAGACCTTTTCCCTTTATGGTTATAGCTAAGTAACACTGGCCCACAAGATTTATTGAGGTTATAAAATAGTATGAAAGTTAAGAAAGGAATTGCGCTTCCCACCGGTCAAATTCCAAATTTAGTTCATGTATTCGATTAAAATTATGAATTTAATTTTTATATTGTAATTTATATAAATTGAATTTTTATATTTTCGAAAACCAATTTCAAATGAGGTGTTTAAAGTGTACCATACAAAAAGGGTTATGTAATTGAGTAAATAATCATTTTATTAAAAAATAATTAAGAGATTACAGCAATAATAATATGTTTGCTGTGAATAAATATAAAAAATATACAATTACTATTAATTATTAATATATAATGTTGTGATTGATTTTAAGATCTATATTTGTTCTATGCCATATTACAAAAACAATTTATGTTTATGCATATTCATTTAAATAAATCTACATAAATTACGATAAATAGTATACTTCTTTTATTAGCAATTGAATAAAATTTTTAAAAATAATTTTATTTATAATATAGTATTTTCAATTATATTTTTTTCAAGATTACACTATTGTAATGGAAAGAATTTGATAACATGAACATTGATATATTTTTTTAGCAACAAAAGATATTAATATACATAAAGGTCTACATAAAATATAAATATTTTAAAAATAAAAAGCATACAAATTATTCCTACCAATGAATGAAAAATCTAAGAAAGCAATGTCGCTTAGGAGAGAGGCATCAAATTTACTGAAGCAAACCTATTTAAGTTGAAAAGCAGCAGAGTTTTCTCCTACACCTCATAAATTCTTTCACAACGTAATTCGTGAACGTTTATAAGCAAGCAACGCGTTTGAACGGATTTTCTCACTAAATTCCAACCATGCAATAGGAAAATCTGGTTGTATGTACAAGAAGAAGAAGACAATGACCAAATGCTGATAATGAACAATGATGATGTTTCCTAATATTTTCTCTTAACTACCAGAAGTAGAACCGGCTTCGGAGTTCTGTTTGCTGGTCCTCTTTGTTGGAACAAGCGGGTTGTCCTCTTCCTCACAAATTAACTGTGGCCTATCAAAGTCGGTGCCCTTGAAAACTGGATGTATATAAGCATCCTTAAGGTAGGTTTTCAAGTTCAGGTTTGGCTCCGTTGCATGCTCAAGGGTGTCTTTGATCATCGCATCCTGTGTGAAATCAAATGTTAATGTGTCAGATAAATAATGTCACATGTACTCACAGCGACAAGGAAGATACATGGTAAGTTCCTACCCTTACTAATCAGTTTAGCAAAGATAATCCAAGTTCCAACCCATTCTGGTTCCAAAACAATGCCACCTGCTTCCAACATCAGACTGATGTTGCTAAATAGCATAGATTTTCTAGATCTTAATAGGTTACACTTGCTTCACTCACCTTTATTGAAATTAACTTATAACTAAATCCGATCAAGGATGATCCTCGAACCTTGATCAACATAAAATGGCTTGCCATGGTGTATGATGCCACAACCAAACATACAACATCATATCCTTCAAAATTCCAAGTTGCATATGACATTTAAGCAGTATCCTATAAATGTATTCCTTTTATTAATGTTTCAGCAAGCATAACTTCTGCAAACTATTTCTTTAAAGCTTCATGAAAATCATAATTCAAAGCATTCCTCACCTGTAATGGGAATTTTACAAATGCAGATTCGAAACGGCCCTTGCAGTATCTGTGAAACCAGATGGTCAAAATAGGAAGTGGAAGGAGTGCAATTGTTGATTTATCGATCTTCTTTGTGCTCAGCAATCCCATTAGAAGAAGTTGAGATATTATTAAACCAATAATCAGACGCCGATGCACATCTGGCCAAAATGAGGCTCCACTCTCATATCTTTGATCATACACGTTGATAACCTTGCAGCATGAAACAAGATTGTGAACATAGAACAGGCAAGTTTTTTATACCATAAGATGAGAACATAGATTGAATACTTCGATAGTTATGATCTATGTAGAAGTTGGGGCATTATTATTAGTACTACTAATGATAGTTAATTATTATTAGCTAGAGGTTTTGGTCTCCCTTTTTCGTCAATCAGTTGTAATTGAACTTGTTGGGAATTTCCCATTTAGTAATTCTCTGTAGCAGGAATTTGCCTGCTTTATTATATGAATGAAGCATTTCAATTAGGCCCCCAAAAAACCAAAGATGAGAACATTTCCAGAAAATGACCATAAGAGCAAGAAATATTGAATATTTATGCAATATGCTTCATGTAGCCAAAAGAGAGGCTGTCTCATGACCTTCATTGTTACAAAATGACTGACTGATGGAACCATCTTCAATACAATGCAAAATAAATTGCACTGTTCGACACTTATGGGGCAAAAAGCAGTCCTACCTCAAAGGGAAGTACTCTATCTGTATCCTAACATTTAATAGATGCTAGGCCACAGAATTGTAGATGAGGAAATTAGCCCTTGGATTCAGTCCGTTTAACAATTGAATCACTAAGGGTACTATATATATCTCCATAACGAATTGGTCTAGCTGTTCAGCATGGTACAACTCAAAAACACTAACATGACATCGGTTGATGGAAGGCTGAAAAAAGTTATCTACATATGTTTCCAGCATTCAGTTAATTTATAATGGAATGAAGAGGAAATACTTAAGCTTCATGTAGCTTAAACATGCAAGACAATATTTGGTTAGCTAGTGTACCTGATGACGGAATACCAAATAGGCGAAAGCAAAGAAGATGATGATGAAAGGAAGAAGTACAGGGGTGATAGCAGAGTAAACAAGTCCAAGCAAGATATAAAATTGTATCCTTGGTTCAGATGTTGCAAAGTCCAAGCAACCAGGATCCATTGCTTGCTCCCTATCTTGTTCTGTTTTAACTAAAAACGTATTTTTAAGGTGGAAAATGACTAATGGTACTAATCTGAGGATTTCTGCAGCAATCCCCGCCCATCCATCTACCATTACGTAAGTAATGAAAAAAGTGGCTTTCATTGGGATGGATACACCAATGGTTTTTGGAATCCTGCATAAGTAACAAAATATCTGTAGTCAATCACACCTCTACATTATCAGGTACGATGAGATAAAATTGAATGATATAAATAGCACGAGAAAGAAAGCTAGGGCTCTGGCATGCAGACATGATGGTATGCTAGTCAGCTGAACATCAATCATAAACACTAATAGAGAAAAGCATGCACTACAAGTGAAAAGAGAACAGAAGGAACTAAAGGGTAAAAAAGATGAAGAAAGTCAGCGGTTCAGCATCAATTAAGAACTTTTAAGGTTGGTATATCTGAGTTCTGGTCGCCAAATCCCAAAAGAACAAATTTATAAGAATATCTACAACAGTAAATTGACACATTTGAGTTCACTGCAGGTAGCTACATATTTCTGTCAGAGATATACACCAATTGTTGCTGTAACATAATTTCTTGATGCAACGACAACCAACAAAATTGTTTCGGTATTCAAACTGCATGTATGTATAGCAGTATTAAATGTGTTAAGCCATCAATTTTACTGGGAAGAGATAGGTACATACTCTGTTGGAGGCTGGTCAAGGAAACTTTTAAGCTGCTGAAATGCTGTTCCAGTGATAATGCTTCCGAGAAATACGTTAACGAGAATGAACAGGTGATATTTCCCAGCGGATCTTCTATCCAAAGATGAGAGTGATGAAAATCCTTCTACTTTGGACATTGTCATAAGAATTATTGGAAGAATAATAAGAAATATCTTCAGTACAATTCCAGGGAGAAAGCCTTGGATGACGGACTTGAAAGACTTCCTGATAAAAAAAATTTCAGCAGTTGAATTTTAGCTACTACAAGTCTCATTATATCATTACTAGTTGCATGGTAATAGGGGAAACCTAAAGATTATGTATAGATATCAGCCTATGATTAAGATCATTATGGCAATTACACCAAAGAGTAAAGTGTAACTTTTCATCGTGGCAAGTCAGAAATTTGGCTATGTTACCAGCTGTGAATTGTGAATAGGGGCAGAAGTAATCTGTGCTACAGTGCTTCAGGTGGGTTCAAGAAAGAAACAGTTTAAAACTTATGTCTATCCATCTGGATTTTATTTTGGTAGTGAAGATGTAGATGCCCGTCCCTAGCAAGATCCTGCTTGTTAAATGGTTGGACGAGATGGGGTTATCAAATGGGGATACATGTTGGAAGGTGAAACAGATGACAATGCCTTCTAGGGAGGAAAGTACTGAGGACACCAAAAGGAAATGCTTAGTTAATAGAAAGACAACACTGACAAGGAACTTACACTTCTATTATTGGCTTCAAGAAAGGCAACACCTTCTCAATCCCCTCAATGTTGGCTAGAGATTGAACGAAAGCTATAGGAATCATAGAGAAGAAAATAAGAAAAAATAGTGCAACAGCCATTAGCAACCTTCGAACGGAGAGTTCAAAATATGGTATAGCAAGATTATTCCAATAAACATCACGTGGCTCAGGGGCCCATTCTGTCAACCAAATTGTAGGATTACGGCATAGCTGAGTTTGAGCACAGACAGCTGCCGCCCAACGGGATTTGAATGAAACAAATGCTGCTGGAACTATGGCCTTGGGATCATTTATCACTTTTTCTCTTTCTGCAGCTTCCTACATAAGAACAACGAAATTACATCTTTTCTTATGAGTAACTAAATTACACTATAGAAGGGAAGAAAAGGGAGGGAAAAATACGATGTTGCCTGGATGGTAAACTATATATCAGTTTTACATTGCCTCCAACCCTATCAATTCTTAGTCTTAGTTTGTGGAACGGGGAATCAGAATACAGATCATTACATGGTTCATAATGTAGTCTTCTTTAATTCATTTAATTAGTAAGAACAATTGGAACGTGAAATGTTATTTTAAAACATATGTTAATATTTTTTTGTACATATAAACAATGTACTTCAATGTCAAGTATAATAAAAATAATTAAATTTTTTATCAAAGAAACAATTAACTTCCTCATTGAATTATAAATGGTTGGAACCGATTAGGGAATTAGTGTTTTTGGAGACATAAACTGCTATCCCTAACGCTACCGCCACCCTCCACCAATTCGCTTTGAAACTCTTAAAAGAACAATTAAAAAAACTCTCTAGAGATTAACTAATTGTACGATTTCTCTTCCCTAGGTACTTTTGTTTTGGGTTGATAGGCTTGTCTGATCTACTCATTCATCATTAACCTCACCACTTTCTTCACATAAATCTCTTCTTTCTAGGCAAATGCATGCCCCAGTTGGTCAATACTAAAAAGACTTCAAAGAAATTCTTCAAAAGCCTTGATGGATCCTTGATTTGAAGGTGTGGTTGAGAGTTAAAACTCAAAAAGACTCTACCAGTTGAGATAATTCCAGATTCTAGATGGGAGCAAGGAGCAGCCGTTTCCAAATCTTCTTTCAACTTCGTTGTCTTCTATTCGAGGTTAAGATTATCTCTATCCTTATTCTATCTCTGCTCTTCTACAATCCTCGATGGGGATCCCGCGATCCAATTCGGAAACCGTAGGGGTGTACCGAATTATTTTAACTCTCTTACCTTGATTGAATAGGATGATTGAAGAT